TGACTGTCACAGTGCTGCCCTATCACACAGTCCACCCTTGCCCAAGTGTCGCTCCGTTGAGTGTCGCGCCGTGGCGCTGTCCCGTGTCTGACCTCGACGACCTGTCGCGCCATCCGTGCGTGACCCCTGCGTGCACGGTGCCGTGAGGCGTGCACCACGCACGGCACGGTGCACGTGCAGCCCGCTGAGAGGACACAGACGGCCACGGCAACGGACACCGACAGGGAGGGAGTGTCACCGCCCGCACACGGAATGCTAAACAGCTGGGACGGCGTCCGTGCAGTAGAGTGCCAGCATCGTGCTACAAGAGGAGTACGACTAGCTTCTGATACCTTAAACGTGTACAAAGGGCAGGGGTTGAACTTACAACGGCTTTGCAATGGCGCATAGAGGCTCTACATAATATACAACACTAATGGGGTAAAATACTCAAAACATAATAATAGGTCCACTCTATTTGTTGGCACATGCAACTAAATGTGATCAAATGACAAACTTATGGGCTATGCGCAACTCCCAGTTAATTGCCCTTAGCAGAGGGTTTCCTTGCCTGCTCGCTACCTGCGTCCTCGCTTTGCATGCCATTGACACAAGTTAAAAAGTTATGGAGGCACAGAAAGCCAAATGGGAAGAGGGTGCATGATCGAAGGCGCGACACCTTCTGCCACCTGAATTGCATTTGTGTTCCAATTAACTATATTCATAATTTGCAATTATTGATGTGAATGATGCTGGGAGTCAGCACAAGGAATTCGAAACACAATGCCGATGTAAAATGCTCTTACCTTTCCGCCAAATGTGGCAGTCCTCAGCGTTATGGAAGCCGGGTCGAGCGATGGGACACCATGCAGGATTCGGATGTCAAACTCCCACGCTGCATCACTGTGCTGACTGTTGAGATAGTGAGTGTTATCTAGCTGAGTGCTGAGTCGGCCCATGCGAGTCCAGCCCGCCGGAAGGGCGCAGTTGCAGCTCGCAGAAGCGCGATAGCGCTCTGACACCTCTCATGGACCACTTCAGATAGCCGACCGCACCCCGGCTCCTACCCGGGTGCGTCCTGTCTGAGTGCGCGACGGAGGTGGAGTGTGCGGCGCTTACACCCCTGGGTGCAGCCCTGGAGGAACGCCGTCACCAAACTCGCCTCAGATGAGTCACCGTATGGGCAGAGCGATATCACAGTTTACGGCAGCTACAAGCGTTTCTGGTGGTGCTCCCTGGATCGCATGCGTGATTGGAGCAATATGCCACCTCGGTAGGATTTCGTGGCGCCCACAACAGCCTGTATGCTGCTCTCTTTCGCCCACCCGCAGGGCTCCTCATCATGCAAGTCATGCAATTTCAGCCGGATGGTGCGCTTACCTCGTCCCTAGTATTTCGCGGATTTCGGGAATGTTTCATGAGCAGTGCGTGCCTACGTAGATGACCGCTGATACTTAATCGACGCTGTAGGTGTGTCGTGCGTTTGTCGTAAGTGCTCAGCCATGTCCGGTGCCGGTGACTCAAAGTAAGTTTTCGTGTTCTTGACGCGAGGCTTTATATACTTAGGGATTTCACAAATTGCAGATCAAAGCTCCGTGGTGTGACGATCCGTGGAGCTTTAACTTTCATCCAATGTGATGTTAGCAAGTCTGAAGCGATCTTATATTGCGGGAATCACAGTGATGGCATAACAGCTCATGGATGATAATTTGAGTACCTCATCTAAGACGATTGAAATTGATAGCCCTAGCCCTGTCTTATTACGATGCGCTAGACAAATCGCCACCGTCTGGGCCGTATGGCGACCATAGGTGAAAAGATCGTCCATAATGATGGCTGCTCAGGCTGTTATGCTGAGCCTCTCACAGCCCTGCACCACTTCTGGGAGGCCCTGGGAACGCTGCGTGCCCCAGCGACCCTCGCACGACCCTGGCAGCCAGCACAGTACGCGCCTCCAGCCACTCACGCTCCACGCATAAAGTCGGCCGTTTTTGTGATAATATCTAACGGCAGACCAGCCAGCCCTTGGCCATTATCTGCGCATTATCAACGCCTCTATTGCGTGTCACGCACATCCAGACGGCCCCAGTCACGCACTCGTCTCCTTCGCTCACAATTTGACACGCACATAATGGGCGTTTTGTTGGTGCGCGTAAACAAATTATGCTTTAGATCTTGGTGTAGATTTGGGCGGCCAGCGCCTGTCGAGGCCAAACTTTCAACAATCGCGGCTGGGAGAGTGGTGGGTCCCAGGCTCGTGCAGTGAATGCCTAAGGCGGAGAGCAAGTGGAAGGGCTGGCGGTCACAGCCGCTAGAAACTTTGTGGTTCACAGCACTGAGAGTGAGAGGTATTCGCGGCGCTTCACTTGCGCTAAGAACTAAAGCATCTCATTTCTCAACAGCGATTGGGCTGCATTCAAAGGAACAAACCAGAGTTACAGCAGATTCCGTTGCATTTTGGGCAGCCACTCGTCCTCCCCTGTCTGGGTCTCGGTGACGTGCTCACGTGCCCGCGCTGTGCATCTCGCGCTGTGGTCGGCACGCTGACGGTGCCGTGTCCACGCTCAGCCGGGGGCATGACTATGCACGATAGCCAACTCCAGGCTCACATGCTACGGGAATATATGGTTTGGGAGAGTGGGACGGCCGCCGGGAAATCATAGCCGCCGGTTCACGTGATTAAAGCTTCGCAGCCCACGGGCAGCCGCTCACGAGCTATGGTTTGGTGCACAATGCACTTCGCTCACCGAAGCCAGCTGCGTGCTTCAGGGTCGCAGCTCATAGCTCACGGGTGTTGCTCTTCGCTTACCGATAGTATATAGCCCAATGGCCACCGTGTGGTTGATAGCTCAGAAGCGACATGTAGCTTACGTCATGCGGGTATAATAAGAGCGCATAGCTTTAGACGGTGTCTATAGAGATACAGTTCATCCCTAACTTATCGCTCTCCATTTCTCCTTTATTTCATAGTTCACTTCACATTTTTTTTTCACACACACAAAAAACCACCGTGCTTTCTGTGCTGACAATGCGATGTAAAATCTGCACGAAAATCGGCACGAAATCAAATATCTCAACAATATCGTTTTCCTTAAAATGCCCCAAAGAGGCCCCTTCAACTCTTTGTTGACCTCACTGACCGATCGTTCGACGTTCAGGCAGCAGGGGCACTCCCCAGTCATTCCCCACCTCTGGCCAGTGCAGCTGAGGTCACTTGGCACGGCCACTGGCCCCGCCGGAACACCCTTCCACCCGCCGCTGGTGCTGCCGTGAGTCACACAGCGGCGGAGGGAGGGGAGGGAGGCGCCGAGCCGACTGAATCTCGGCTGCCGTCATCGCCGCCAACAGAGCACACCACCGCCGACAGAGCACTCGCCGATTGTTTTGACCTCGAGCGGGGGTGGAGTGGCGGGGCTGCGGGGGGAGGGGTAGTACAGGGCGCCACAATTGGACTGAACGAGCCTCGAGTGGCCTGATGTCACCGCCACTGTTCCCTCGGCTACCGAGACCTGTTCCGACATGAGACAGCTGCCGACAGCGCGGTCACTGACTTGGTGACGTCACTGGATTTAATAGCATCAATCTATGATGACTCTGATGTTGATGACATCATTCGATGACGTCACCAGTCGTGCTGGATCGGCTGCTGTCGATTCCACGCGCTTTCATGCCGCTCAGCGGCCTGCCGTCCTCTGATTTGCTGCATGCCTCCTGCACTTAGCTCCTTGTTGGCGGCGCATAAAGGAAGCGGCTGACCATTGTGTGGCGGCCGTGTGCCTGTGATGACGACTGCGGTGCGCTGATGGCGATTCTGGCGCGCCGCGGTGGCTCCGAGGGTGCGGTCACGATCACTTTTGTCCGGCGCCCTGTCAATGGTGCAGCGGCCGGGCGGCCGATCTGTCCGGTCATTACGATGTCGGCGCCAGTGGTGCCTAATCGCTCTGCCCTGGTCGATGACAGGCTGGTCGGCCAGTTTGGTCGGATCAAAAGCGGTCTGGACTCTGTCATGGGAGCAGCGATCAGCTGGAGGGTGAGGGTGACAAATACTGCTGCTGTGATTTGTGAATTGAGCTTTGGTGTATCGTTTTCAATTTCTAAATGAACACATTACACAGTTTTGTTTTTCTTCCGTCATGAGTCATAACGGAAGTTTATTTGCGTTGTTTTCCTGTATCGAAGTGGAGACCAATGTAACCAAGCTCTGGCAAAATGTTTAATGTATAAACATTTGCTGTGCTGTAAGATGACAAACCCTTCACCTTTAGCAGCCGATTAACCGTATCAGAGTACCAGTTAAGCCCGTGCAATTGCAAATATACCCCAACAAACTCAGCCTAATCTGTTGACAAACGCCCACACGTAATGAGGATCGTCGTCATGCTATTGTTTGTATTGTCACCAGACCTGAGTTCCTTGTTCATTGAGGCGCCCCGTGTGCTAGCCACTAATCCCCCGTTCATGATTGGCCGTTTGCCGCGGCGACCGCAGATGTCTTGTCTTTGTGAGCTGTGACAGCTGAATACTGAACAGGTTAGTGAGCTTATGCCACCATCCAGAGCCACTGACCCGTGGGGTACCTTCATCCCTCCCTCCCAGCCTCTGTACAGATGTCAATTGGTATGTTCCTCTTCATTCCCCCATCGTCAATCCTCTCCATGGCCTTCCATGGCCCTCTCTCCATGGCTTATCTCATCTGACATCTCGCACTTCCCTTCCATGCCGCCTTCTCCAAAGCCTGACTCTCTTCTTCACTGACAGTCCAGTACAGATGATTATCATCTCGGTCTTTCCCTCTTTATTTCTCCCCATCTTCAATTCTCTTCCATAGCCTTTCTCTCATCTCATCTCCACCCCTCAATTCCATGCCTCCTCGTCAAGACCAACACTCTTCTTCACTGACCGTCCCTCTGTCTGAGCCTTCCCGAGTTTTCCTCCAATGCAAACACGTGTGTCCTGATGCACCTGCTGTTGCTCCGTGACCGACCTCGATGGTCGTGTCACAGCAGCGGATCGTGTTGCAGATCATTTGGATAGCGTCGGATCCTGCAGCCGAAGTGCTGACTGCGACCGACGCGCTGACACTGAACGCTGACTGTGCCGTCAGCGCTGTCAGCAGCGCCGGCAATGCGCTGATCACGACTGCCTTCGCGGCCTTCGTGTGGCTTATCAATCAGAGGTGGGTACGCGGGGAAAGGACGGGACCAGTGTGTGTCCCGGAGTCCGGTGGGTGTCCCGGAGTCCGCTGGGTAGCCGGATAACATGACCTGTGCGATATCTAGACAGTAGCAGATTTTTGAACAATCGGGGGTGCCAGGATAAAATCCGGGAAGGGTCCGAGTCGGACATTTCCCCCAATGAACTAGGCCTCAAACAACCTACCCAGCATAAGCAGGTTCGTTGGCCAAACACATGAAGACGCAACTTTTCGCATCAGTGTTTGGAAGCGGACCGCGTGTTAGAAGTCAGGGTGTTCCTTGGATTTCCTCAAGGAATTACAGCCAACTATTCATTCAGCTTGCTAAATGAAAATGCACTCACTTATTAATCTTCAATCATAATTGACACACACTTTCAATGAGGATTGAGGATCTACGAATTTGCCGATTAGGCAATGTGAGCGCAACTATTAGAAGTAAGAGATGGCAACCACTTAAGGTAATGTGTCATTCAGCCCGGCAATAAAACTGAACAGCTGCAATAAAAACAAAGCTGATGACGGTTACAACACATTGAAGATGTGACCTTTGTTCCTCAGAATGACAGTGAGGACAGCTTCAAATAACAACCGCCAGCCACCAGGATAGCTTTCAAGCGGGATGACCTCTGACCTTGTTTTGTCTGTGCCGGCTTACCTTGGCTGTGGCCAAGGCCGTATAAGAGGCTGTGGCGGCGCGTTCCCAGGCTTTGCATAGTTGCGGTGGCCGACCTTCCTTTCCGCACCAGCGCCCCTGCCCTTTCCATTGCCATCTTGGCCGTCTCGCCTCGGTTCAACTCCAGGTTACCTTGACTTAACACCGTCTCACCGCAGCTCAACTCTTTGTCACCCCGCAAGGCTCTTATTTGTTCCCAGTGGCGGATCTACGTTGGGGCAAAATGGGCAATTGCCCCCCCCCCCCTAAACGGAAAACCTCTGGGCAAACATATCTTTTTGCCCCCCCCCCTAAAAAACTACAACTTGAATGCTAAAAATATGGTGTTTGAAAAGAAAATGTGAAATAAATGGAGGACTATAGAAGGTTGTCATATTCGTGATATTAAGTTGTGAGCTGATAAAAAGTCCTCCACCCCATGAATGTCAGTCCATCATCCATCAGCAGTGCTACTACTGCTACTGCTACCAAAAAGAAAAAAAATAACGCGATTTATTGAAACCTTGAACCAAGTAAACAAACCGTCAACAGCAGACCGCCAGACGCCTGTCACTCCAGTGGGGTCAGGGGTCACCACACTGGAGCGGTTGGACAGTGGTGGGTTTGCATGGGTATATAAGAAGTGTTTGCATAATCAGGGTTGGATAAAAGCCGGCTTAAATTGAATTTATGCCAGCCAGTGGTTTAAACCGGTTTAAACCGGCTTAAACCGGCTTAAATTAATAAAAACCACCTTCAGTCAAAACATCTACTATAACTTATCTTGTGGGTCAGTGTACTCGTTGGTGACTGTGCAGAGTGCAGGAAGCCAATACCGTGTCATTTTGTATTATGTCAACATGTTGGCATGTGATTATGTTGACAATCTGGTCAGTAGGTAACTAAGCTAAAAAGCAAAGTAGGTATAAGGCATAAGCACATTCTAATCTTAACACGCGCACTGCAGCGGGTCTGAGCCGAACACGAACTGCAGGGGGGGGGGGTTGAAAACAACCCCCCCCCCTGAGATCTCGAAAACGGCGCAACGTAGCGACAAACGGTAAACGGCGTTAGATAGGTCGAGATGTTATTTAGAGGAAATACTAGGTCATTTATGTCTCAGGTCAAAAACGAGGTCACCAGAGGTCACCGAAGACAAAATGTTACGATTTTCACAACAGGAATTTCGCGGTAGTTTTTCTTGAATAACTTGTCTTGCACACAAGATAGAGGATCGATTCGAACGCCATCGTTAGCTCGTCAAGGCGCATCGAATGATATATAATATGACCTCGAAAGGTCAAATTGAAAATTTGACCTCAGGTGAAGGTCATGACCTGCCCGAAATAGGTCATGTTGCATATCATTCGATCCCCATTGACGAGAAATCACGATAAACGTCGAACGGAGTCTCTATCTCTATTCAATCTCAAGTTATTGAAGAAAAACCGCTGGTGACCTCAGGTGACCTAAGATGACCTGGAGATCACCTTCCAAAGGTCACAAGTGATATGTTTCGGTGAAATCACCAACAGGGACCTGTAATACTATGATTCTGAGCGTATTGAAGTCATAGGATGGCATTCAGAGTAAGTTGAAATTTCTCCCATTGACTTATAATGGGCCGGTCGCAAAAATGACCTGACCTTATGTCATCGATATAAAAATTCCGAGATATATAAGTTGTAGCTCGTGATGACTTTACTATTTCCTGTGGGTTTCAAGATCATATCTCAACAACTGTGGGCTTGGTGGGATTGCAAACTTCGAAATTTACGTTTCGAGGTAGGGTCACTTGACCTGACCTGGTGACCTGACTATAGGTCACCTGGGGTCAAAATTTTTACTCAAGGTGTGCAAAAGTTGGGAGAACAGGTATGCAAAATTTGGCGGCGCTGCGCGCCGCCGTTTTTTCGCGATTTGCGAAAAACCACAGGGGGGGGGGGGGTTGAAAACAACCCCCCCTGCAGTGCGCGTGTTAACATTCGGTTTACCAGTTGAAAGTCTCACTTTATTTTACATGTAAAATGTATTCTGACCAATCGTCTGGGGACTGGGCCAGTAACTTAAATATTTTTCATGGTATCACCCTTCCTGTGATTTTTTTAATTGCACAGGAAATAATTGTAACAACTCATCATTTATAAATCTTCCTATGGTTTTTCAGGTAGTGCATGTTGTTTTCTTGGTATAGCAGTGTCCCTAACTAATCACACTTATTGTTGTTTTTACATGAACTTTGGAGCCTCTAATGGTTGCCGTGCTGTCAATTCCTTTGTTTAGTGTCACTGACTGCTTAAAGGAAATAGTTCACTTTTTAACATGGGTTTTGAACTGGAATAGCAGTTCCGTAGCTTGGGCTGAGACGAGCATAAATCAGGAGCTTTTACAGCCCAACGATCACCCTAGGCAAAGATATTCCATTTGTCGTCCCGAAAAAGGTGTCTTGCGTTGAGGATGTGTGCCTAGTATATATTTCCATCCAGTATGAAAAGAGCATGGGTCCCGAAAATTCTTCAGAAACTAGAGAAATTATCTACGAGAACACTAGAGAAATTCTCGTACTGATCAATTAGGACATTCAGGGGAACATTATCAGATCGAGCAGATCGCCCAAATGCCGGTGGCTGCGATAATTTCTCTGTTTCTGAAGAATTTTCGGGACCCATGCTCTTTTCATACTGGATCGCGTGTGCCTTACAGAAACTGAAAAGTTCTTCCTATATCAAAATATAGAAAAAAAAATCTTTTGTTATAAAAAGGTTTTATTTTCTTTGCTGATTATTTTGAACATAAAAAATAATAAATCGTTGCAAAAAAAATAATTTCGTGAAAGTGAACTATTTCCTTTAAGCAATAGACAGTTCCCTAGTAAATAGGCAATGTTCTATATGATAGTTTTTAGGCCTTACCATTCACTGATCCTTGCACCATGCATTTGGCATTAGGTCATGTTTGCTACAGTTTCTCATAAAATTAAAATTGGTTTCTTTATTGAACCTGTCTCCAAGACTTTTCATTCCATGAACCACCCATGTAAACAACTAGTTGTGTAAAACACTGCAAATCAAAATAAAGATTTGATACAGGGTGATACAGATCAATAATGAATGACATCAAGTTAACCCCCAGGGGAAAAAACATTACAAGTTAGCATGTATAAGTGAAAGGTGTGTATAGAAAATGTGAAGAGAAGAAGCAGTTTAACCCAAGTGATGTTACGACAAGTTAACGGAAGTGACATTTATTATGTTGGTGCACACTGGTTTAAACCGGGGTGGCTTAAATTAGTTTATGCCAGCCGGTTTAATCCATGGATTAAACCGGTTTAAACCGGCTGCTGGCATAAATTTGCCAACCCTGTGCATAATATTTTATTGCTAGATAGCATGGGTGTAGGAGCTGAAAAAAATATTGGTGGGTCTAAATATCCATTAGTACCTAGCATTTCCACTGTGGCTACATTAGTTATGTCCAGAGGCGGATACAGCCATTTCCAAAGGGGGTGCCAAAAGGGTGCCAAAGTCCGAGAGTCTCTACAAGAGCTGCATATGTGTATGCATGAAGTGCGAGATAGGTTTCTGAGAGGAATAACGTAAAGAAGATTACCAATCGCGGCTTTTTCATGAGCCATACCGTTATCTAACGGGGACAAACACAGAAAGGCTCAGTCAGAGCTTTTGGTTTGCGAGGTGTTGGAGAAGCTCAGTATGTTGTGGGAACTTAACGCTGTTCAGTGTGATTCCGTTGGCTGTTGCGCTGTGGTCCTATGTAACCGAAGGTTTGTTGTCAATAGTTAAAACACTATTCTTTAGAATTGTGTTTTTCTATTGAAAAACAAATCTGAGTTCCCTGACAATTTGGCAAAAGCTGCCTGAGATTAGTCTGTAGAAGCATCGTTTATCTCCTCTCGAAAGTAACACTGTATAATTTTGCTAGCTCGCGAAGTTTAGTCCCAAAGTTAAGGAATGTTCATTGTAATTGCATCAATAAATGCAGGACCGAAAACAAATGCGCTGTTCTTCGTCTATTTCTTGTTGGGATTCTTAATCGACTGATCTCATTTTCTATTACCGGAAACAACTGTTAATACGTTTAACTACGTGGCAACCCTGACTGCGTATAGTATCGCAGGTACGCTGATGTGGCCTTTGGTCGTGGGCATTTACACATGAACCTGCTGCTGCGACCCTTATCGGTCTCCGGATACAGAAGCCCTTGAGAACCGGCGCGGGCGAACCTTTCGGACGAGGTCTTGCCGAGGTGATGCGGGAGGTAGAGGACGGACCGTCCATAGCGCCGGTGAGCTATTCTCTAACCCGCGCCG